TAAAGATGTATTCAATTAATACAGCTAGTCTGAACGATTAACATGTTATTTTAGATGATAATCAAAACACGTGTTGAGTTTGAAATCAAATTTTTTTGTAAGATGAGTATATTTCGGAACCAGATGGAATGTAATAATAATTGTGGGTTAAATAAGTTGAGGTACCATACCAGTTCAATACTGATATTTAATGTAGTTTTAGGAAAAATTGTTTCGGTAGTATGTTAAAATGTTAAAGAAATTCTATGAACCAAGAACTAGATCCAAGTGGCCCTAGTTCTTGGTTCATAGAATTTCTTTAACATTTTAACATACTACCGAAACAATTTTTCCTAAAACTACATTAAATATCAGTATTGAACTGGTATGGTACCTCAACTTATTTAACCCACAATTATTATTACATTCCATCTGGTTCCGAAATATACTCATCTTACAAAAAAATTTGATTTCAAACTCAACACGTGTTTTGATTATCATCTAAAATAACATGTTAATCATTCAGACTAGCTGTATTCATTGAATACATCTTTACTAATTACAATTATACACAAATTTACATTTCAAATAGAAATATTAATTTTCACAAACAGCTATTAATTGAAAAATTTTTTTAAAATGTTACTTAAAACAATTGTACAAACTCACCATTGTCCATGTAGGTGTGAGGAATATCTGTTCATATGACACCGAAAATTGAAATAAGAATAAATTTACCTTATACCGGTTTAAATAGACGATCATTCTACCTGTTCGTATAACAATTTCCGGTTCCAACTGTCGGATATTAGAACTACCAACTAATTATTGAAGGCTTTATAATTCAGTCAATTTCTTGAGCCCACAAATTAATTACCAACAATAATTATCCATTTGTTGCTTTGGTTACATATTAGTATATTAGATATTAATATATCAGATTTTGAAAAAATATCTCTAATAATTAAAAAATACCCGGACAGATAACTCATACCTACATCAATTTCAAATAAAAAATAAAAAACTTTGCAAACTTATTAAAAATTTGATTATTAAATGTACATGTTCAGTTGCCAAAGAATTTACTTTAATTGGTTCAATAAGTTAAACATTAGACTGAGTTAGTTATATTGTAGGATGTATTTCAATTAACCATATTTTTACATTAAATTTGATTAATTAAAGATTGTTAAAGTATGCCAATATTAAACACATCAATTTACTTTTGATATATCTAAATTGAAACAGTTTTATAGACATTCATTAATAACAGCATATTTTATGAAACTAGATAACTTAACTCACAGTATTGAGAAACAGAAGAAGAACTGTCACATGCTAACCTACATCTGTCAAAATTTACCACTAAAATCTAATAGATACAACAATAAAAAAACTCATTGTGCCCAAGACTATGATGTAGTGCATTAAAGTCCTTCCCCCTTTTAAATTCAATGTTTGTTTCGTCCCTTCTAAGTGTTTTCTGTTTTAGTGTGTTTAAATTATCCTTAAGTGTTTGTATTTTACCATTTTATTCACTTGACTATTCCAATAATTAACTCATTGCCAATAGAACTTTATCAAAGTAATTTGATAACTACAAGTTTGAAAATAATTGCACACCCACACAATTTTTACATCTACACTTATTCATTGTCATAAAATGTCACCTTCATAAAACAATTACTCAATAAATAACACATTTCAAAAATATATCTCTGGAATAAGTATAAATAACTTTTAATAACACAATAGTATATTACATCACTTACATTTAACAAACAATCTCACACATATCTCAAATTCATTGGATCAAATCTATCTCCTCAAGAACTTCCCGTTTACTGTCAAACAACTGCAATAATAGTATTGAGTTCTCCATTCAACAATATAAAGTAGTTTCAAACATGTTCTACCATCCATCTATTAATAGAGTACCGGCATGTAAGTAATGTTTATTTTATTTATTTATTTGCTCATTTATTAATTTATTACAATAGAAGAGATTTTATAACAATTTGTGGGCCTTACCTTGTCTGTTTAACCTTTTTTAAAAAAAATTTTATACCTTTTATTCAACTCAATCATTTAAATAAAACCACAGACATGTAATATTGGCAGAATTATTGTAATTTATAACATCTAATTTGTTTATCTTTATTAGACAACACCCTAATATGGGTTTTTATCATTTCAGCATTTGTTTAACTTTGTATCGAGACCTGAAGATGCTTTGCATATTGTAGAAAGCGAAACCGGTCGTCTGATAGTTAAATTAAATTGATTGTGAGTAAGTCTTATTTATTATTTCTTTACCTACCTTTCTTAATTTTTTAAAATAATTTCTTCAAGATCTACCTAAACATCTAAAGACAAATTAATTATCATACGAAATTCTTATTAGGGATGTCTCTGTCCCAAGTACAGTAGAGGAAAAACGAAAAATTCTTAGTGGACTTCTTTTTCAGGAAGCCAGTAACCGTATTTTTGCAGATATTTCGGTCAATTTATATTTCGATGTTCATTACCAACAAGCTTTAGCTTCCTATTCCGATCTGTTAAGTCTTATATCTGATTATTCAGGTACAAAATCTGATAACAGATTCATGGCTTTAATTATCGTTTAACTCATTTGTCTGGTAGAATTTCATGTTTACAGCCAACTTCTGTAGATGAAGAAAAATTGAAAAAAGCTATCCGCATTGATTTGGTAAAATTAGAGGCTACTTTGTGTGATATTGTACACCAACCTGACATTATAGACAAACCTATTGCTTCTACTTCTGATAGAGTAAACCTCGATTATTCTCAATCTTCAACATCACCTGTTAAGTCTGTTTCTGTTGACAAATGGGGTCTTAAAAAATTTTCTGGTAAAGAACCTCTAATTCCATTTCTGGAACAAATTGAAACTTTAAAGTTTTCTAGGAACTACACCGATGAAGATTTATTCATCTCTACATGAGATTTATTTGAAGGTGCTGCTTTTACTTGGTGGCATAATCATTTCACAACAAATCTTTCAATTCATTGTCTGAATTAGTTGTTTCCTTAAAGGAAACTTATTTATCATATAACTATGAAAGAAATTTATGGGAACAAATACGTTCCACAAAAGGTCTCTGCATATATTTCTTATATGGAGTCTTTAATGCTTTGGTCTTCAAAATCAATTCTTAAATTTGAAGAAGTGGATGAAATCATTAATGGTCTTCTTCCTGACTATGTCAAGGCTCTTGCTTTCCAGGATGTGAAATCAGTTGCAGACCTTACATAGTGTTGTAAGAGATTTAAATCTGCTCTTACTATTTCGTCTCGCAGCAAATTTTCTGTTGAGTCTCTTTCTTCGTCTGCTACATGTTGGAACTGCAACATGTCGCCCATGAAACCCAAGAGAAGGTTTTGTCATGGTTGTGAATTTAAGATCATCACCACATATGAATGTAGGAGATGTTCAAAAAAACGGTTTGCTAGGTCAAGCATCGGCAGACTGCATGCCTCAAAGCAGCCAAACGTCTGTCCCAGAAACATCAAGTAAAGGCAAGAACATCCCAAGAAAAACTTTTCGAAAACGTTCAAACAACCAAAGTCAGTGAGTATTTCTAAGCAACTTATACCTAAAAGTGCTTCTTTTTATGTCTAACGATAGTTTATGCACTTTTTCTTCAGTAAAATCTGAAACTTTACCTTCTTCTAGTACTTCTGTTTCTTCTAGTGGTGATTTAAATTCTCAGGTACATTTCAATTATAGTCCATTACTAGATATTTATACTAATGATAATAGACCATAATATATTTTTATTTCTGTAGGTAATGAGACAATCTCTGCACTTCTTGATAGTGGCAGTAATGTTAGTATCATTGATTGGTTCTTTATTTTTTACTTACAAAGCTAAATTTAGCACTTAATTATGTTTCAGTTCAACTCACTACTACTGATGGAAACATTCAGAGTCCTTTAGATTATGTTTCGCTACCTGTTTTTTACTCAGTAAAACTGAATCACTTAAAGTGTTAATAGTTCCTTATATTTCACATAAAATGATATTAGGTATGTATTTTATTCGTTTGTTTCAACTTTCTTTGGATTTCTCAAATACTTCATTTAGGGCTACAGATTTATCTACTTGTGTAGTAAATACTAATATCAGTTCTGAAAATCTTTCTGACATTCAGCGATCACAACAACAAAACTCTGTTATTAAGTTGTTTAAAGAAATAGGTCGTACAGATTCCATTGGTAGAACTTGGTATACACATCATATAGATACTGCTAATGCTAAACCTATTAAACAGAGTCAGTATCCATTATCTTCTGCTATGCGTAAGGTTTTAAATGCTGGAGTGGATGAAATGCTTAAACTTAAAGTTATAGAACCCTTAACTACCAGTATACCGCGGTCTTCTCCTTTATGGCTTGTGCCAAAGAAAGATGGTTCACATCGAGTTTGTTTCGATGGTAGGAAACTTAATTTTGTTACAGTTCCTGATAGGTATCTTATGTCCTATATCCTACATCTACTTTATATCGCACGATTTGCACATTAGGTGACGCCCAAACAAGAAATGCGCACACTTCATCTATCTAAGAAAGAAAAAAATGCGCATATGCAGCATCCAAATGAAGTCAGCCATGACTATGTCGACCATACAGAATCGAACTGTTGGTTGACATCAGGAAAATATTTCCCGACATGGATGGTTTCCTACTTGTCGTTCAGGATCAGGTAATCTCAACCAAAAACTAGTCAAACCATAGAAACAATCAAATATCTCATAGAATGCACCATAAATGCATAAATTAAAATTAAATACATTTTTTACGGTTTGAATTGAATTGAATATTGATTATAGTACTATCTCAGTCTAATTACTAACAAAAATATTAGTATACATTTTCAAGAAGACGCTCACGAATTTTTATTTCTTTTGTCTGTTGAGTTTCGATTCTTTTAATGAATTCGCTTTTTTATGTGATCGATCCAAAAAGAGTATTACAATGCATTATATTTAAATTATACCTGAAAACATGTGCCTTTCCAATGAAAATTATACATCCTTGAGAAAGTCTAGCGGGAGATTCCAAAAGAGTATTATTAAGCATCACTTGCGCTCCTAGGTGAGGAATTAATGTTGCAACACCATTTTCGAAGGTAATGGTACAATGCTGTGGCTCCATTCCAGTCCCCCTTAATTCAATGTCTTGTTTAACATCAGATTCTTCTGTCCCGATTGTAGTTTTTCCTTCCTAAACATAAGAAAAGCACATGGTCAGTAAAATAACTTTCAGAGCACATGGTCAGTTTTCATGTTTTCAATTGGATCGAAAAAAAAAAATAAAAAAAATTCACGTGTATACATTTAGACTGATAGTAAAATACTAAATCTATTGATCTTCTTTTGGATCTATTCAATACCAGGTATAATAGCTGAAGAATGGCTTCAATCAGCATTTATACTGCTTCCCAAAAAAGCCAATGTAAACGAGTGAAATGAACATTGCACCATAGCCTTAATGAGGCATGTCTTGAAATTATTTTTAAAAGTAATTCACAATAGAATACATAAGAAATTAGATGAAGGCATAAGTAATACACAAATGGGATTTAGGAAAGAACTGGGAACACGAGATGCACTGTTTGCAGTAAGTGTTCTTTTGCAGAGATACTTAGATATTGATCAGGAAGTATATGCCTGTTTCATTGATTTTGAGAAGGCATTAGACATAGTTCAGCATAATCGGCTCAAAGAAATTTTATTAAATAAAAACATAGACAGTAGAGACATTAGAATCATATGTAACCTCTATTGGAACCAAACAGCAAAAGTGAAAGTTGAAAATGAACTGACCGAGGATATCCAGATTCGTCGTGGGGTCGGTCAAGGGTGTATTTTATCACCCTTGTTATTCAATTTATACATCATCTGATGAAGTCATCTAAGAATTAGCGCTTGCCGAGATCAGTGAGGGCCTTTTAATAAACGGTGAGCAACTTAATAACATAAGATATGCTGACGACACCGTCCTTCTGGCAGGAACACTAGAAGAACTGCAACACCTTGCTGAACAACTAAATATATATTGCAACGATTATAGACTAAAAATAAATTTGAAGAAAACCAAGTTCATGGTATTTACAAAAGCACAAAACATCAAAGTTGAGCTAGTACTAGATAATACAGAAATTGAACAAATATCTTCGTACAAATACCTTGGAGGATGGATCACAGAAGATACTGATCAGACAAAAGAAATAAGATGCCGCATTGAAATTGCACGGTCAAATTTTTAATAGTATTAGAAAACTTTTTTGTAATCGCGATATCAATATATCGCTCCGGATAATAATGATTCGATGTTATATTTTCTCTAATCTTTTGTATGGGGTTAAAGCGTGGACACTTAAAAAATCCAACATTAAAATCCTAGAAGCATTCGAAATGTGGTGTTACCGACGTATTTTGAAAATATCATGGATGGATCGCAAAACAAACGAAGAAGTTCTCGAACAACTATGAAAACAATGCAAAGTTTTAAATTCCATAAAAATCAGGAAATTGGAATACTTGGGGCACATCATGATAGGTGAAAAATACGAACTACTAAGGAATATATTGCAGGGTAAAATCAAAGGCAGAAGAAGCGTAGGAAGACGTAAAATTTCGTGGCTACGCAATCTCCGTGAATGGTTTGGATGCAGTTCAATTGAACGATTCAGGCGCGTAACCAACAAAATTATAATTGCCAGAATGATTTCCAATCTCCGATAGGAGTGGAACTCGAAGAAGAAGAATGTATTTATTTAATTATTATTCGCAATTTTTTCACGGTTTTCATCGGTTTTTTGCAAATATATCCAAAAAATATACGTTCTATCGAAAATTTTATAAAAAACAAAATTGTAGCAGGTAAAAAAAATGAACAATTTGGTTTTTTTATTAAGTATTCTAAGTGCAATATTAAACTAGCTATTAAAGATCAAAGCCGTTTTTTATTTTGTCTGAAATTTAATCGATGTGGCCAATGCCATCTAGCGGCAAGCAGATGCATTTTAGGCATTCTTATAAAAAGGGTTTTGTAGTGCATAAGTATAGTGTATAAGCTTTAAAATGAGCACTATTAAAAGTTTTTTGCACGTAAAATAAGTGAGCAGTATTGCAAATAAGAGGAGCATCTAATGTTTTTTCTTTTCAATCAAAGGGTTTCATAAGTGCCATTTCCACCAAAATTAAAATTAATCGTATTCCGCCTAGAATTAACTTTATTATGAAGAGTTTGATAGATTGTATCAGTTTGGCTGCTTCAGGACACATATTTTTCTTTTTCTTTTTCAGAAAAAGGTTTTTTACTATATATTGCAATAAAGGATGTTGTAGCTCTCGTAATTACCTTTACAATGTTTTTTATAAATTGTGATAGCATGAAAATTAAAGGAGTTATGGTCCAAAAACTTATCATATTTTTTTCTACTTAGTAACTGAAAATTTCGGAGTGTGAGTATTTGGAGCAATGTGAAAGTTCGCAGTATAATAGAGACCCAAAATTATTGTACTATGTATATATATTATATTTTAATAATATTAGTACAATTTTATATAATTTGCAAATATTTTATTAAATAAATGGTAATTTTTTACTCTAAATTAAATTATTTTTTAAATATGTAATCATATATATTTACTGTTTTAATTTAGAGGCAGTTTTAAGGGTAGAAAAGCATAAAAATATGATAATCATTTTCGAGAGTGTAGAATAAATAATATTTAAATGCTTTTCATTTTATCAAAAAAAATTAACAATTTTTTATCAAGGGGTAGTTTTCAAGGGTTGAAAGGTGGTTAAAAATTTGATAATTATTATAGAGAAAATATAATATTACTTACTCTATACTTACATCTTTTTATGTCATACCAAAGTATTTTTTTGTGATTTTTTCAATTTATGGCTTGTTTGCAAGTGTTGTAAGATTTTCAAGGGGTTGAAAATAATTTTAATATGAAGTAATTGTGTTAGAAAACATTTTACAATTTCACCACTTACTATTAGACATGTTTTCTAGTGATAAAATGGCTCAATGTCAATTTTTCCATTAAGGAGTTGTTCACACCCCTTAAAAATAATAGGTGGAGTTCAGATCATTTTCACTTTTAAAGTTATGGTTAAGATGAGCCTAATTCCAAAATTTCATGCAAATCGATTCACAGTAAAAAAATTCGGAGGTAAGACCGTATTTTTCGCTTTAATGACTGCCCTAACAAGGGAAACATGACGTAAATGAGAATTATTTTAATTTAACTATCGTTGTTCACCTTATCTACTATATTTAATGGGAATAATTCGTAACTGAATGGTAATTGAAAATACGTTTTAAGGTTTCGATTATATTATTGCAAAAAAATTACGATACACTTGGAAGGTATTAACGATATTAGGTATTATACGCTTTTTTTACCTTAAGATGGTAAAGAGTAACACCAGTAGTCAAAGGATCGTCGTCAATTGCTACCAAATGCGGCCTATCAGAATCTAAGACCACTCCAGGACCTGCCTTTCTTAGACCAAGGGCTCTTTGCTCCCTAAGAATCGCTTGTGCTTCTCTCCATTTTCCGGTCCATTCTTCTGTCAATTCCTAAAAGAGTTCATAAGCTCATTAATTTTTTTCTACAGATTGATAAACTTTAAATAAAATATATCTTATAAAAGTTGCTCAGAGCTAAAATTTTGTATTATTGTATTATTTATTTATACCAAAGATTAAACAAGTACCATATACAATTACATAATAATTTTAACTCTAATTGTTTCTAAAATATATACAAAATAAAGCTGAATAATCATGTAAAAGAACTGTTTTAGAGAAAATTGTTTATTATCCGATAAAATATATTATTAAGTCAAAAGAAAAGGCAAAAAAGTATTTTTGAAGTGTGTATATTTTTTAATAATTCCTAGCTGAGCGCTTTCGGCTTTACAAAGCCATCATCGGAGCTATGGTCAATTTATAAATACCACTACAATGGAGAGATCTCATTTCCTTATTTGTTGAAATTTTGTTTTTTTTTTTAATTACTTAGTTGTTAAAATTTTAAAAAAATATATACAAAAAACCGACATTTGACTTCATAGACACATTAAAAAATTTTTGTCATGGTATGGGTGTAAGAACCCGACCATTGTTTGCTGTGAGGAGGTAGACAGAATAGCTATTCTGTCTACCTGCTCACAGCAAACAATGGTCGGGTTCTTACACCCGTACCATGACAAAAAAAAATTTAATAGTAATTTAAAAAAAAATTTCAACAAAAAAGGAAACGAGATCTCTTCATTGTAGTGGTATTTATAAATTGACCATAGCTCCGATGATGGCTTTGTAAAGCTGAAAGCGCTCAGCTAGGAATTATTAAAAAATATACACACTTCAAAAATACTTTTTTGCCTTTTCTTTTGACTTGTCATAAGTGTGTACAAAAAACATATCAGTCTTTTGATTATCAATATATTTTTATCGCAAACACAAACAAAAATCGGAGCTGAAGGACTAAATACGGAATCCACGAAATACTTATACAAAAACAGAATATCAGAGAAAATTGATTTGCATAGCATTGTCTATAAGTTTAATCTTGGATCTCTTTCTGTAAAGAATAACAACTGATGGTATAAAAGTTCCGATTGCATTCATCGCATATACCACAGTGTAATGTCTACTACGATCAGCACTGCTAAGCGTACCACCCTGCTTTATCCTTTTGTGACAAAAATTTTCTGTGGTCTCTTTTGTACAGTATTTAACCCTGATTCGTTAACGTTAAACACATTTTCTTGTTGAAAATTTTGTTTTTGCATAATTTCTTCTAAGGCAGTAAAATATTATTTGATGTTCTCCATATTGAACACTTGAGCACGGGCATATGACTTATTTTCTATTTTCTGGAATGCTTAGAGAACTTGTAGGATTTCTTAACAAAAATCCTTTGATCCATTTTTTCCAGCCATTTTATTTTCAGCATTGAAATTATGTTTAAGGTTATTTTTTCTGCCATTTCGTAAGCTAGCTTCCGTAAGTCTTTAATAGTAAATCCAAAGAATCTCGTTTCCATATCAATTATGTGTCTAGCGAAGTCTTGTTCAACTTTCTCGGGTAACACTGTCCGACGACCCCCAATCTCCCATGTTTAAATCTGCGACGTAAAGTCGTGGCCGGAATATTGTAATTTTTGGCGGCTAGCTCCATCCTATTGTTTTTTTTTTGTACAGCTTATATTACCTGATGCAATTTATTTCTTCCCATTCTTGCCTATGCTTTATAAATGGCTTATTCTGAGATAGATCTGAAAAAATATGTAGTTTTACTCAACAGTTCCTATGATGGCGTACCTATGCCATCGTTGGATAGCCCGAAGTGAGCCATCATAGGCAAATATTGTCATTTCATTAAAACAAGAAAAAAAAACTTAAATCTAAAGATAACCTTAAAATCTGTTTCGATCGAATCGAAAGTTTTTCTTCTATTTACTGTACTGGATTCTAAATTTTAATTTTGTGTAATGTTACTACGGGACTAACCGAATAATGTAAAATTTTCCCACCCTCACAAAAAGCATCACAGCATTATTCACTTTATACGAAACTACAAACCGACTAACTAGCATATAACAATACATCCGTTGTTAGAATAAGTGGGCTGCATTTGTAAATACACTCGCTATGCCATCATATTCACTATGCCATCATAGGCGACTTTCCCTAATTAAAATAATCTTTTATGTATTTAAAGTAAAATTTTAGACTAATATAATATTTAATAATAAAACAATTCGTGGAAGTCATAACCAAAATACAAAAAATTATTTTAAGATCCCCGAACTATTAAAAAAAAGTGAATTCAATGAAATTTACCGTTCTTGTGTACTTACTTTTTCTCGGGCTTCTTTTTCCTGTAGTTGCGCTAACATATCACTTCGTTGTTCACAGAACATTATTGCCCTGAGTTTACTGATTTCGTCTCTTAATTCTCTAATTAATTTAACGTTAGGATCTTCGTTGACTGTAGGTTTGTTAATAATATTCTTAGCTCTATTTGCGTACCTAAGTGTACTTAACGTTTCACCATAATTACAATCTACAAGAAATGAACAATAAATAGTAACAATTTTGTAATAAGTGATTTGTTTCTAGTTTTAAGAAATTTTAGCAAAGCATGCAATGCATGCAAAGACAACAATTTTAAATTTCGCACCGAACTTCATCCCTGTTTATCCCTTTTGTTTCTAATGGTCTCACTGTTTTTCTGATTTCGATTCCATTCGATTACATTCAATTCCATCGATTGTATTCGATTTGATTCGATTCCCTTCGAATCGATTCGATTTAATTCGATTCCATTCGATTTTAACCATTCCATTCCAATTCGTCTTATTGTATTTTAATTTATTTTATTAAGAAATGCGCATGAGACTGTGTTTACACGTGTCTGGTCGCACGATGTGTCATTTTTTATTTTTATTTTTTCACACCTCTGTCCGACCCATTTCACCTGTCAATGTATTCCGTCCTTAGCCCGCGATAACCAAGCTATGCTTCCAAAAAGACACTTCATCTACCATTACTACATATAATGAAAAAACCAGAAAACTATATAAAATATCTCGGAATAATATCTGATAATAAAGTAAACCAAAAAACATCCCAAACTATTACGATAATAACTTATTGATACGAAAATATACAAATTGATTTGCAGATCAATATTGGAGACTATGGGAGTATCGTGTTTAGTCCACGCAGACAAAGAATCTGGAAAAACATAGAGCTTGTTGAGGGAAACAATCCGAGGACGATAACTAAAATGGGACATTCCAATAACCTATTTGAGTTCGTTGAAATTAAGCTGACGTTAGACCATTATTTAACGATTGGAAGACTTTGAGATGTAAATATACAGAAGATAAGATGGGTCGACCGAGTTAGAAATGAGGAGGTCCATAAACGGCTGAACCAAACAACACGACTGGTAAATATAATAAGGCGATATTATAATAAACTTTGAGGGTATACAAGGCAACTATCGAACACGGTGATTAATTTAATCTTGCCAAGTACTTTCGATCAATAGATCATCTTCAGGGGCATTTCTAGATGATCTATTGATCGAAAGTACTTGGGCAAGATTAAATTAATCACCGTGTTCGATAGTTGCCTTGTATACCCTCAAAGTTTAATTATTCGAACATTCAACCTTATATTGATATTATAATATACAAAGAGACAAGCTGGAATACTTCGGTCACATTATGAGACATCCTAAAAATACGAACTGTTGCATCTCACCATTAGGATGTCTTGGTAGAAGAAGAACATCCTAGCTGAAAATCTAAGAAAATGGAACAAAAAATCGGCATTATTATTTAGAGTTGCTGTCAATAAAGTCACGATACCGAATATGATAGCCAATATAGATAACCAATGATCAAGAACGATCATGAAACTAGAAGATGATAAAATAACCTGTTTAAAATATGTTCATTGTATTCATAATGATAAGTAATAAATTTACATACAGTATATACATATGTGATTCATATGTCCTTTATAAAAGTAATAAAGAATATACTATGATGATCTACAGAAGTAATTCTTTCTATTGGTGTTGGTAAAGAATCAGTGACTTACCTGCAGGACTGATAGCAGCAATCATAATAGTTTTAGAATTCCCACCGAGACTATCTTTCAGGAGCCATGTAAGGACGGAGTCTCTATAAGGTATAAAAATAGCTTTCTTTTGACCATTTTGCTCCACTGACAACTCCGCTAAAGCAGATATCACAGAACCTAATGTAACCAACGATTTATTGATATGAGCTCCTTCTTTAAGTCTCTGTCCAGTAGCACCTGTTGCATCTGCCCGCTCACTACCTGCTAAATCGACGAGATGAATCTACAAACATAATGAAGACAATTACAAAGTATATGAGTATTGAATCAATGTATGCTGTGTATTATCAGTGATGGTACAAACAAACTGCTTCATGTTCAAGGAAGTACTGTGATACTCTTGAAAGAAGAAAGTTAGAAGTATGTAATAAAATAAATTAAAACAAGTTATATAATTACAAAGAAAAACAACTAGCAAATTTTTATACCACCCATACCAAAGTCGCTTTATTGTACTTCGCCAGTTGCTTTGGGGATTGTTTTCACCTCCAAACTGTTAGTAACTCAGGGGTAGACTTCAGTTTTTAGTGCAGTTGGCTGACAATGGGGGAATAAGATAAAAATAATCATAGGAAATGGATTACAAAATTCATCGAAAGCAAATCGAGATTAGAGGAGAGCTGAAATAGTTCGATGGTGAATGGTGATGGGCACTGTTGCTCCTGAAACGTTAAAACTTATTGTTAACTTACTTTTGATACTGTTTCACTGGGTACTCCATCGCAATATCCGGCTTGTACAAAGGTAATAGTAAATATTGCATGGCTTCTACTACTGACATCATTCATATTTGTAGCTGCAGTTGTCCTATGAGAATTCCCTCTAGAATAAGAAAAAGGTAAAATCAAAAGGCTTATAACAAAAAGCCCAAGAGTGATCATATCAAAAATTTTAACGTATACTAACTGGCCTACAAAATATAAATATTTACATGTAAAATCTTTCCGTAGAGATACCGTAGTAGTTCGGATATAATAAGTGACCCTTTTGTAAAAATGGTAAAGCCGCCACTACTTAGTAATAAGGCATTAATACAGACAATATACAATACAAATTCCTCTTTGATTCCTCTTTACTACCTTTCATCATTGATGCAAATAAAGAATATTAAATATAATTATCTCCTGAACAATCGAGGGGGCCAAAAATATATAAAAATATTAATTGATCAGTTACCTTTCCATACACTCTTGAATATGTCCATAATTAGTTACTAGGCAAGTTGTTAATCCCTGAACATATGGTCCCTTCTTAGGATGTTCCCTAACTTTGAGTGAATTGTTGTCTCGACCTCTGAGCAAATCGGCTACTCTTTCCTGATAAATTTCTAAATAGCTGACTTGAACTCTATGCGTAGTCCCTCTTTTTGAATTTTCCGACATTTTTTCAAAGAGAGCTTTACAAATACGTGGAATCAGACCTTGGTTTTCCTGAAATTCAAATTTTAATTAATTTATAAAAAATAGTATATGAAATAATTCATACGTTTTATTAATTACAAAAATGATTTTATTGTTGATAGCCAAATTCCGCAGAACTCTACAAATAAGGAGAAGAACACCTAACAAACAATGTCTGAAGAATAGAATATCGATTCGCTGTGCCCATTACACAAAAAAGGGAATCAGCTTGAATGTGATAATTATAAGGGGATAAACCTCTCGAATATAATATATAATAATATTCTTTAAGATAATTTACACAGGTCTGAGCTCATACTTGAAGAAATTCTGGGTGAATATCAAAGTAGTGAATATCATACCTACTCGGACAAGAATAGAAAATATTCGTATTAAAACAGATCCTTGAGAGAACTGGGGAATTTTATATCGATACAATTCACCTGTAAGTACATTTAAAAGTTATATGAAGCATTGTAAGACTACAGAACTCCTGTTAAAGTGATCGGGTTGGTAAAGATGATAATTTTTAAAAGTCCAACAAATAACAATCAAAAAAGTTATTCTGAAGAAATCAACACCAACAGAGGACTGACACAGGGTGCACGATGTTGTGTCTCCCTTTTAACATTGCGCCAAGGGAAGTCACATGAGATGCAAATATGAAAAACCTAGTTACAATATTTAATAGTTCACAAGGAAAATGAATTTTGTATGTTTGGTTGTATACCTCAAATCACGAAAATTTTATTTGAATAATCCATTATAAAAGGTATATTACATCACAGATCGATTTCGGAATGAATATTCCATCATCGGTGCTTTTTCTAGGTTTACATGTTTGACTAAATAAACGAGTAGAAACCTTTTAATATTCTAAGATGTTTAAGTTTTAGACGGGATTTACTTCATGGCAACGTAAGACTCCAACACTGGAGTTGCTGGCCCTGAGACAAAGTGTCTACGAGGACTTGTTAATAGCAACTCAGTTGCTATTCTTGCTCCAATTCTTGTTTTGCATTTTGTTGTGTTGAACTTTGTCAAATGCCTTTTAAAAAGTATAGAGAAAGACATTGATAGAATAAACAAATTGAAAGAATTGAAAAGAATTACAAATAACAGGAAAAGGAGGTATTACATAAGTACCTGTCAGCATCGATGGAACAGTACAACAGAAACGCAAAAGCTCAGAAAAATAAGGAATATTTATATTTTTTATATAACAACGCTACAGGTCCTCGAAGTCTTGACTTCTAGGTTACAATGAATGAGCATCACTGAACTATGAGACTATCTCTCTTATCTACTACTCACTCATCGGCCGACGGTACCACAACGTTTGAAAAATTCTGTCTGGAGTGTGACTAGATAGAAAACATAATGAAGAACTGCTAAAGGAACATTATTTCATACTTAATTTTTCAACATAAAGTATAGGTCAAAGTAAATATTACACAAACGACAACCGAGGGAGATGAATCCTTGGGAGTTGAATCCAAGGGATAAGTTGCTTTATTTATTATGTTGTAGGCCGCCAGCAACTGATAAAAGTTTAATAAAAGTCGACTACACTACAAAAACAAACAAAAAAAAAATAAACTTCGCATCATTGACATTAAGAAGGACAATATATTGGTATATATTAGTACCATATACAGGGTGTCCCAAGATGTTTTTAAACCTATAATTCATGAAGTAATGAATATTTTTATTTGAAAATTGGAAAATGTCAATTGGACCTACATTACTAAAAATTGACGACTAACAATGAATTACTGTTACGTCATCCTGGATGCTGTGACATCATTACAACGAAAAAAAAATTAATGGATCAGGGGTGAAGGTTAGGTCAGATGAAAGGGTATCTTATCACAAATTCAGCGGTGTTCCACAATGAGGGTATTAATTAAAATAACTACACTAAATTTTCAATTTAATGTTTATTTTCAACAATAATCAATAACATTCAAAATGTGAAATAATTTTATAGGTGTTCAAAATGACCTCCTTCTGCTTCAACACAAGTGTCAAACCGTCTAAGCAGTACACGTGTACATGCCGCATTATTATCTCTTCCGTATCAGAGTACACGCTTGTCAAAATTTAGTTTTTAAATAGTCTACATCTGTAGGTTCTTCGTTATAAACGATTGCTTTCAAATAGCATCATACAAATAAGTCGAAGAGTGATAGACAGGCGATCTTAGAGGCCATCGGATGAGTCTATTAGTTCCAATGCATATCTTTGGAAATGTCGCATTAAGGTAATTGATTACAATACCATTGTTATGTATACCATATTCTCTAGTAATAAAGGTGGCTCATGTTTCATTGAAAATTCAGATTCTCTGACCATTTAAATAATTTTCAAAAATATAGACATATTAAGCGCCCATTAAATAACTCACAGCAAACATTAATTCCCATAGAGAATGAAGGCGAGTTTCCCTTAACCAGTGCGGATTTTTCACTGATCAATAATGGGAGTTCCCATTATTATGGAAACGAGCTTCATCACTTCACAAAATTCTAGTTAAAAAAGTAATGTGTGTCTTGCATCATCACTTACATTATGGCGATGAAGGTTAGTCTTCGATCCAAATCGGTGGGTTGCAATTCATGAACAAATGCTTGTAGCATTTAAATCTGGTAGGACAGATGACTACCATCCAAATTAGAGTAATATTGGTTTTGTGATTCGATTCTTGGTTTCGAAAGAGAAATGAAAGAGCGCTTGGGTTCTGTGTACGGTGACTCTTTTCCTTTGATCTTCTTCTTTAAGTGCCGTTTCCCAATCGGAGGTTGGCTATCATCAACACTCTTTTTACTTTATCTACTGCTGCTCTGAATAGTTATATAGAACTGCATTTAAACCAGTCCCTTAAATTCTTCAACCATGACACTCTCCTTCTTCCTATACTCCTTTCTCCTCTTATCTTTCCCTGTATTATCAGCCTTAGCAGTTCATATCGCTGTCCCCTCATTACGTGTCCCAGATATTGTAACTTTCTTATTTTATTGTGTTTTTTATTTCGCATTCTTTATCCATTTCTCGCAATACTTCCGTGTTAGTTTTCTTCTGTGTCTATGCTATTCTAAGCATCCTCCTGTAACACCACATTTCAGAGGACTGTAACTTATTTATGTGTTCTTGCTTCAATGTCCAGCTTTCAAGTCCATATTACAGTACCGAAAACACGTAGCATCTCAGTGCTCTTACTCTCAGTTCTAATCTAAGACCTTTGTTGAAGATAATTGTTTTCATTTTTACAAACGCATTTTTTGCTATTTCTATCCTAGCACTAATAGCCCAGGGAAATAAGCATTTTTTCATGACACTCGTCCGGCCAGGCAAACGACAGTTGTTTTGAATAGTGTGGACCTCTGTAACAAAAACCTATATGTTTCCTGCAGTCGATTTTTTGAACTTAATTAGTTATTAACAAATTAAGGTCAAAAACGGAAAATTTTTGCTTTTTTCGTCTATCAGCAAAAAGTGAAGCAATTTAAACAAATTTTAGAAGAGAGGAAACTTATAAGTTATATAAAAACCTTCAAAATGGCGTTTTCAAAATGTTTCTATCCTTATTTGTTGCTTAGAAAGTTGCAAAATAAGTCAAAAATTTTGGTTTTTTATAAATGTTAATAACTTTTTTCAAAATAAACCTATAATATTTATATTTCATGGAATGATGTGTCTTGTAGTGCTTAAAATAGGGTTAAAATTTAAAAGTGATCGGTTCAATAGTTTAAAAGTTATTTTATTTGTTTATCCCAAATTTACATTTTTTACAACAATATAAGTCAGAAATTTATACAGTTTTAGAAATTGTAAGGATTGTTTCTGGTAGAAGAAGACTTGGTTTATTATTTACATTAAAAAAAAATTAGGAAAATTAATTTTAAATATTGCAAACTAATTTTGCAAAAACATATCGATTTTTTGCTTATAAACAATTAGAATAACTTTTTAACCATTGACTGTAAAAATATTATTTTTACATATTTAAAAAGCTTGAATTTTTTCACAAATTTAAATAAAAAAAAGTTTGTCCTAAAATAATTTGGTACAAAGTTAGCCTCTTTTTTTATTTAATTCATAGCACCTTTGTTTATAACAATTAAGAAATCTAATTAGCGCTATATAAAAGAACATACATTATAGTTTTAAAGTACTAAATTTTAAAATTATTGCCCTTTAATGGAATCCTCCACAAAGCTTCAAAATGTATGTAAAATCGGTTGACTTTGAAACTCTCGGGAGCTGAAGGGAGGGGGAAGACGCTGTTAACTGTATCTCTGTTCCTTTTTTATGTATTTCAATGTGTCTTTTTAAACTTGTATGTACTTTTTGCGTACATTACGAATATGCATTATTTCAATAAATAAATTGTCAAGTAAACCACCTAATTTGTTTAAAAACAATTTTTTTAAATTTTTTTAGTAGTATTTAAGTTAAGTTTAAACGTAAAACAGAAGTACTTGACATTTCCTATATTTTGGGGAATAAGCCACAATTTAAGTTTATAATAAGTTTATTTTTGACGTTTCGATTTCTACTTCGGAAATCTTTCTCAGATTACAGAACATTAACAAATTAATCAAATTTTGTTTTTGGTTACTTGGTAGAAAATTTGGTTGGAAAATTTTTCTGATAACTCTTCTGGGTGATTGATTAGGGTAAGGAAGCTCAGTAGATCTGTTTTAGTAAAAATTACAAAAAAAAGTTATTGACAAAACTTGTAGACAGCTTTAAACTCGATATTTTAAAATTAGTTACAATCTTACAGGGTGTTCTATAAGATGGTGGCAGACCAAACTTATGTTTTTTAAATGAAACACCCTGTATTTTATTTTAAATTTGAAATCTGCTTCACTTCCACATCACAACAATGTAAAGTTTTATTATGTTACACCGGGTATTTAAAAAGATATAACCAATATTACCTGAAAATCGTATCAAGTTTAACTCCCTGTATAATTAAAAAGGAGTATAAGACCATTGATCTGTTGCAAACATAGTTTTTTAAT